GCGGGATCCGTCGAGGGAGTATCGGATGGAGATGATAACGAAGCGGAATCCGGTCGACGTCCGACTGTCGAGGACGCTCACAGCGATGTCGGCACTGCAGCTGAGTCTGTTCCGAGTTCTGATGAGTGGAGCCTGAGCGTCTCTGATTTGGCCGAGTCCGTCCTGGATGGTGACCGCTCGGAAGACATCTCCGACCGGGAAGAACCTGATATACCCACTGCGTCGATGCCTAGTACCCCGCTGCGGAAGCTAGAGGAAGAGTACAATCGATGCATGCGAATCAATCAGGAGGAGCTCGACCTGGAAGCTGGAGTGTATCTGCACGAGGGGAGCGAGTTGTTGTCCCAGTTGCGTGATGAATTGGCCTTGCTTCCTGAGCTGAAGGACCTGAGCCCCGAGTGTGATATCGACAAGGCGGATGTTGGAGAGCCCGGACGGACTACCCCGGATGGAAAACAAACGTTGCGCTCTATACTCAAGTATCACCGCAAGATTTTCCTTGGGGATGGCAATGCTGCGCCGGCCCCGGCCAGGGGCGTGGCGTGTGACCTGGATGTGGGTGACGCAAAACCCGTTGCTCAACGACCAAGGTCCATTGCCCCTCACTTGATGATGAAGGTGTACAAGCTCCTGAAGAAGCCGCTGGAAACGGGTCTGATCAAGATATCGCTGTCGCCGTGGGCTGCCCAGATTGTAATCGTCCTCAAGAAGAATGGCGTGGACATTCGAATGTGCATCGACTACCGGGTGGTTAATGGGTTCATCCGGCTTTCTAGCTACCCGTTGCCCCTGATCGATGATCTCCTGATTGGATTCGAACCGCTATGTGGTTCATGAGTCTGGACATGGCGAGCGGGTTCTGGGCGGTCCGGATGACGGAACGTGTGAAGCTAATCTCCGCGTTCATCTGACCATTCGGATACTTCCAGTGGGTACGCATGCCATTTGGACTCAAGAATGCTCCACTTGTGTATCAGGCGGTGATCAACAACTGCCTTTGGCGTTTCGGGCGTCTCCCTCGGGAAGGGGAAGAGCAGGTGGACCCGGATGTACTCGAGTTCCTCGGTTTGGACCCGTCCGTTCGGGATGAATCCGAACGGGAGAAGGCTGGAGCTAGTGTTCCCGTCCTGGTGGAGCAGATGACTGTGGTCCAACGCAACATCCCGATGCCGTCCCAGCTGGGACCTGGCCTCGGACGGAGTTCCTACATCGATGACATTGCGCATGGGGCGCCCACCTGGGATCAGTTGTGTGAGGACCTGAATGCGCTGCTATCCCGGTTGCGCTATTGGAACATCTCTGTCAGCCTGCCCAAGAGTGAGTTCGGGAAGTTGAGTATGTCGTATCTCTCCCACGAGATCAGTGCCGAAGGACTGCGCGCGACTCCGAAGAACGCGAAGGGCGTTCAGGATTTACCGTTCCCGTCCACCCTGAAGGGAGTCCAATCATTCCTCGGAAGCCTCAACTACTATCACAAGTTCATTGAGGATTTCCCGGTTGTGGCCGCAGTCCTGTATGAGCTTACGGATGATCAAGCGAAGACCGACCGGGATCTGTCAAGGGCAAAGGAGGCATTCGAGATCCTTAAACGGAAGATTGTGTCGACACCCCTGTTGCGACACCCCGACCGGGCCAAGCCGTTCGTGATTATCCCACATGCGAATCGCTGGGCCGCCTGTGCGGTCCTCGGCCAGGAGTATGATGAGGTGATCCAGCCTGTGAGGTTCACGTGACGCGTGCTGAACGACGCGGAGATTCGATACCACATCGCCGAGAAGGAGGCGGTTGCTGTCATGCGGGTCCTGGATATGTTTAACACTCTCGTCCAGGGCTGCCCGATCAAGGTGTACACCAGGTACTCAGTACTGTCCTGGCTGTTGAAGTCCAAGACCGTCGATGGCCGACACGTCCGGTGGGGGTTAACAGGGACTTGGACGTGCAGAAGGTGAAGCGAGACGAAGACGGCCTGGCCGCGATACTGGGCGCTGGCATAACGCCGCGTGAGCACCTGGACGAAGTTGCCGAGTCACTCATCCCAGCCAAGGGTCAGGTGAAACCCCCACCGGTGATCAGTGTGGAGATGCTGGAGGCTAATTTCGCTGGATACGTCCTGAGTTTCGACGGAGCTGCGAAGACATCGACGAGGCGAGGAAGTTGTGGATATACCATCTGGGAGCTCCCCGACTGGAAAGTCCTGGCCGCGTGGGGTTTCATCCTGGATGATGTTACGGTGAATGACGCTGAGTAACTCGGCCTCCTGAATGGGTGGAAGATGATCTACGATCGGGGTATCCCGGATGTGGTTGTCGTCGGAGACTCTCGGATCGTCATCCAACAGGCTCAGGGACTGATTAACTGCAACCAGCCAAACCTGCAGCGACGTCTGGCCGATTACGAGGTGATGAAGCAAACGTTCACCTCGATCCGGCTGGTACATGTCAAGCGGGAGTACAATCAGGCTGCAGACTACTTGACGTCCAAGACACTGGCGCTCGGAGAATCCTGTTCGATTGACGACCCGGATGAGATGGAACATCTGGGGCGAGTCTCTCGGATCCCCGAACAGATCATGAAGCCTGAAGTGGGCCCGAGCGACGATTCCCCCGGTGAGCCCAGTCAGGAACCTATGACTGGGGCGCCCGACGATGCAGGTCCCGGGCCGGAGTCAGCCCCCTGCCAATGGCAGCCAGGGTCATGGCTGCGATAACTCGTAGCCAGAGCCGTGAGGACTCCAATCACGGCGAGTCTATGAACCCGCTTGAGTATCAGGTTGAGAGGTGGCGCCGAATCAAGGTGCACCAGGACGCTGATCCCGAGTTGATGAATCTGAAGAAGTTCCTCAAGGGCGACCTGGATGACTTCTCCCGGCTGGAGATTCGCAAGCTGTCCAAGCGGGCGGACCTATTTGCGTTGAACGTTCGGGATGTGCTCTATCGACTGGTCAGGTCTAATCGGGACCAGCCTCGCGACAAGACCGACGAGTTGCGCCTACTCGTACCAGAAGTACTCTGTCTGGACATGCTGCATTACGCCCATGAGGATTTCCAAGGTGGCCACCAACGAATAACCCGGACGCACAAGAAACTCCGGCTGGAGTTCTACTGGCCAGGGATGTACGCAGATGTTGAAAGATACGTCAAGGAGTGCACCGACTGTGCCAGCGGCAAGGAGCGTCCGCCCAACCCTGGACCTTCGCCCGGGGACATCGAGCCCAGAGATCCTTTCGAAGTGGTCTCGATGGACTTCGTGACCCACTTGCCGAAGTCCGAACGGGGCAACACGTTCTTGCTCCTGTTCCAGGATGCGTTTTCGGGTTTCGTGATGTGCAAACCGATGAGTTCTACCACCGCTCAGGATGTCGCTGAGGCATATGAGGAGAGGGTGTCCCGCTGCTTCGGAGCCAGCTCCCTATTGCGTCATGATCAGAATCCCAGGTTCATGAGTGAATCACTCGGTTCAGGGAACTTCTAGGTAGCCGATAGCGAGCTACGTTGGGGTACCGACCCCAGACGAATGGACAGCAGGAACGTTCCGTCCAGACTGTGGTGAGGTCCATCCGGGCTTACAACGCAGAAGCTGACCAGAGCGACTGGGATGACCACGCAGAGAGGCTCATGTTCGCGCTCAATACGTCGTTTGATGCAACCCGGCTGGACACCCAATTCTACCTGGTCCACAGCTGGGACGCCAAGAGTACGATCTCAGCTATGCTGGGGCCTAAACCCTCCAGTGTCCCCGAACGGACCGCGTATGAGTGGCGATGGAAACTCCAGCGGCACTACGGCTACGCTCGGGCATGTGCAGAAGGCCTCCAGAGGAAGGCCAAACGGGCTCGCTCGGAAGAGCAAACCCGGAAGTGGAACGAGTTGTCAGACCGGCTCAAGGCAGGTTTCAACGTTGGGGATGCAGTCTGGCTGTACATCCCAAAAGTGCAACCGGGTCTGAGTCGCAAGTTGGCCCACTTGTGGCATGGTCCATTCAGGATCGCCGAAGTGGTTGACGAGTTCCGGGTGAGGCTCAAGGTTAAGGACACGGGTTACCGTGTAAACCCTTGGGTTCACATCAGTCGACTGAAACCCCGGGCGTTGTATCCCAGACGGCCTATAATCCAACCGGAGATCGAAGACAACGATGACTTTGACACAGCACTTCTTCCCGAAGACAGCTGGGAGGCGGACAACGAGAATGACGAGTACGAAGTGGAGAAGATCATGGATCTCAGGTGGAACAAGCGTACGCGGACGTCCAAACGGGCACGAGAGTATCTCATCAAATGGGAGGGGTACGATGAGCCTGACTGGATACCGATGGCACAGCTGAATTGCGGAGCGCTCTTGTATGAGTTCAATCAAGGGACATGGTTGGGAGTGGTCAAGTCCGAATGGGGCGACCCCAATTGGGAGTATTGATCCCAGTTGGAGATTCCCAGACGGAGACCCGAAATGCCTGGATGTGAATGTGTGAATTACGGAAAATTGATTGTGAATTTGTATGGAGCGGATCGACGATGGAGTTGTGATTATGGAGAGCAACCCGAGCGAGAATGGAGTTCTCGACGACGAGTGTATGAAGTTGACTATGTCGCCCTGAAGGAGGTGCCAAAGCGGCAAGAGATAAACAAGGCTGCGCTCAAAGTTGAACCGACCTGGATAACCTGACCGAAGAAGGAAACGATGAAGACAGCGAAGACGTTAACGGTGATTGTGGAATTAAAGTGTTACGCTACGGATATGCAACTACATCCAGGACCGTTGTGGATGCTGGATGGGAGGATGACTTCACTGGAACTTGGTCGAGACCCAGTTGTTGACGCGCTCGTGCTTTGGAAGCAGCATCTTGTCGACGATCTTGGCTGGGACATGCGCCAGACGCTCGTCATCCGTACAGGTAGTCCACTGAGTCCGGCCGGGGTCTTCGAGTTCGGCCATCGCGATCTGGTCAGCCAGGGTGTAACGCGTGCCATCGACCTTCTTGGTTGATTCGTCGACCAAGTACAGGCAGCAGATCTTGCACGGGTACAACCAGAATCCAGGCTCCCAGACCATCGTTTTCGGCATGCCGGCCTTGATCAGACGCTTGATGCGGGCCTCGAAGGTGCGCGCAACCCCGTCGTGGAGCGCCTGACGCTTGCGGTAGAGATCTTGAGCCCGTTCGTAGATCGTGAGGTCGTCGCACTTCTCGTCGTCTTCAGGCTTGGTCTTCATCATGAACCAGTGCAGGATGTACCAGAAGGCTGGAAGGCGATCATTCATGTACCCCACATGTTGGTCCAGGATGCGGATCACAGCTGGGGGTAGTTGTTCCCGGCGGTGGAAGTACAGGACCTTGACCCGGTTGTTAAACATCTCCAGCCAGGGTTCCTTCTCGACCAGGGCCGCATACTCATCTTCGACTGCAGGCCAACGCCTGGCCAGATACTTGGTCTCAGGCTGCTGAGGTGCGTAGTTAGGAAACCCAGGCGTCTGGCCCTCGATGCCACCTTTCTTCGGAGAGAAACGAGTGCCACGACGACGCCACGAGACTATGTCCCCAGATGGGGTCTCGATGATCGCCAATTCCCTGCTGTTCAGGTCCTCGTAAGACTTCTGTGCCAGGGGCGACTTGCCACCCTCCCGTTTGGGTTGCGACGTCCGGCTGCGTTTTTTGGGGTTCTTCTTGGACGAAGGTCGATCAGGTTTATCCTGCAGCGCGAACTTCGACCGGGGAGACCGGGGTTCCTTCTGGGACGACAACCGAGGAGACCGACGCTGGGATGAGGAAGACGACTGGAGCTCGTCCTCAGAGGAGTTGTCCGAAGATGACTGAACGCGGTTCCGCTTGGGGTTGCGCTTGGGCTTGGACGGCTGCTCCTCATCGGTGTCGCTGTCCGACGAGCTGCTCTCGTCAATGGACTTCGCCTTGGATGGCCCATCCACGCTCTTCCCAGATGGAGATGGCTTGTCCTTGTCCTCGTAGTCGGAGTCACGTGAGTCGTCACTTTCACGGGAGCCGTCAACTTCGACGATCTCTATCTCGGCAGCAGCCTCCTCGGCCAAGTTGCGCAGTGGCGGAAACTCCTCCGGATACATACCCGACCGGAGACGACCCTGGAGCATGACCTCAGCCATCTTGTAGAAGGTCTCGGGGACATGACGCGTCCAGAGGGTGTCGTCCAGGGTGCCATGGTACATCATCTTGACCAGCATCTCCAGCAGCCAAGGCTTTGGGAAATACTGGTGGGCCGGACAATCCTGACGGAGGATGTCCAAGGCCTCTTCGTACCCATGGTCCATCCGCATGACGAATTGGACATCCAGCCGGACATCCGGCCAAGGGACAAACTCCGGCAGGGATGCAGCACAGTCGGAAATCAGGCGCTTGAAGTCCGTCTGGGGCGACAGAGGGAGCACATCAGATCCCGGGTGGACCGTGGGTCGCATTTGGGCGTACACCGGCCCACCCTTGCTGGAAAGCTCGGCCATACCACGTGAACATGGGACCCCCTGGATGTACGCCGCTTGGGTTTGGACGGAGACGCATCCGCAGGCGGGACGTCCGAGCGGAGAGGAGTGGGCGGGTTGTCCTCCGACTTCTCTTCATGGTCACCATCCTGGCCGCCGTGGCCATCGCCTGCCTGGTAGTTGTCATAATCGTCCTCCATGTCCGGGTCGACAGGACCCGGATAGGGCGGGATCATCTTGAACGGACGGTTGGCAGCATCGACGGTGATGTTGGTGACCCAGTGCGCAGGAGGTGTGGACCCCCGTTGGAAGTGCCGCAACAGACGCACTAGCCTGGACCATCGACCGCGAGTGGCAGCCCCACCT